CATAAACACAATTAAAAGGGTTCATGCAGTTATACACAGTTTTAGTACAACTGGGTCTCGCCGGAAAAATCGGTCGCGGGCCGGGCCGGGCCGGGCCCATCACAACTATGCAAAAAATACCCCCATCAAAATTCGAAAATTTTCCTTTATTTTAAAGAGAGCTAAACCCACGACATAAGCTCTAATCTCCCCTTCTCTCTAAACTCACATGATTCCCTAATTAAATTTACCTCACCTGATTCTCACCTCTCAACAACACCTCCTCCTAATTTCCTCTTCAATGTCTTCTGTGTATTTCGATACGACGTCATTCATTCCACACTGAAATTTGTTTCCCGTTGACACCCATTTAAAGAAGAATTCATCAAAAACAAAAAATCTGATGATATCTTTTTTCCTTTGGGGGATCAGATCACACAACTCTTCCCCCGTAATCGGTAGTCGGTGTGTGGCTAGACACACACTTTTCGAACGAATTTTTTCGAAATACGTCAGTTTTGAAAGTTCCCACGGGAAGGTTTTTTTGAGGGGTGGGGCCAGACATTTCTGATTCTAGGTATCAAGGAACTGAATTTTCTTATCGTGGCGAGACCCACGATGCGCCTTTGAAGGAGAGGTAAAAAAGGAAGGCATGTCTACCCGGATGGGCGGTGCAATCGGGTTCGAACCTACCTGCTCTCAGTTTATTTTACAAAATAATTTCTCTAAATTCATGTTCCGCCTCCCTTTAAGGGTTTTCTTCACGGGTATCCGATTTAGTAAGGGTGATTTCATTCGTATTTTTTCGATTTTTTGGAACTTTTGGGGGTAGCTAGCCTTCACCCCCCCCCCCCCCCCCCCTATGGACAATCAACAAAAAGTTCAATAATCATCTCGAAAAACTACACTAAATCCGCTGAAAATCGGCCCCCTGAGGGGTCTTAAAACTGAATAGATAGGACAATCAACAAGTTTGATATGAATATGTCGTGGGCTTTGGATTTTTAGGAGTTTTGAATTTTATAAAAGACGTCACTCCAATTGTTGGCTTTTCTGGAATCCAAAAATTGCGGAGCTACCGTAACTTTTAGTTTTTCGTAATGGGATCCAAAAAAGTCGGATTTCTCCAAATGTGCTCATGTTTATACTCAAATTGATGGTCTTGATGAGCCGGTTCTGAATTGCTAGTTTTCATCAATTTTGGGTCAAAAATGATGATGTTACGATAGGATAGTTCATGACGAGACCCAAAAAAGTATAATTTTTCCAAGTGTGGTCATGTTTATACTCAAATTGAAGGTCTCGACAAGGCGGTGCCAAATTTCTCATTTTCATCTGCTTTGGACCAAAATTGGTCTAGTTACAGTACTTTTTGTAGACTTCGTGGCGAGAACCAAAATTGAAAAATCCACACTCTATAGATCGTCTCCCAATTCAGATTTGAACCCCTCAGTTTTCTGAAATTTTTAACTGGAAAATCACCAAATTACTGTAGCTTCTCGAAAGTGGAATTTTCAAACTAAATGTTTTTCTGAATTTGGCATCCTAATAACTCTTCTTGATGGTAGATTATGTAAGGATTTCATGTAGTGGTTTAGCCGATTATTGAACTTTTTGGGAAATATTTTTGTAAATAATAAACACCATTTTATCACTCTTGAAGCTCTTATTTTAGGCAACAGTGTTTGTGTTTTTTTTTGAAAAAAAAACTGGTAGATCAAAAAATTAACTATCGATTGGTATAAATATTAATGAGGTTAGTACAGAAAAAAACGACCTGTAAACCTCAAAGAATCTCGAATTTTAGAACCCAGAGATTTTTTGATCTACCAGTTCACGTCTTCAAACTTTCAGTTTCTCTTCAAAAATAAGCGCTACGGGACCACCTATTCTTAGAATTCCTCAAACCATCTGACCAAGAAAACGGCAACAATGACCGGTGTCTCTCTCCACTCTATCTTCTTCATCTCATTCCCTCGTTTCCCCCAATTTTTCACACAATTTCTGTCAAAAAAGAGGATGGGGGACCCGGTTCGTTGTCGCTCATAATGGCACTGAATTGATCCCAGGGGACGAAATGAATTCGAATGAAGACTCGAAAAAAAGGGAGGGAGGGAAGGGGCCATTTCTCGCGAAAAAAAAAAGAAAATGTCTTCTTCTTCGTGTTTTCTGGGATACACTCTACTACTAGGTTTCAATGATGAACACACTGAGTGAGCTAATGGATGCGCGAACACTTTTCTTTCTCTTTTTTTTTACTTTTCTCTTCGCCCTGAGAAACCGCGAGAAGCCACGTAGGTTATAAGCGCCTTCCGCCTGATGTGTGGCTGTTGCACTCATGGCGCAGTGGCTAGCGCAGCCGACTGTCGATCTGGCGGCGGGGGTTCAATCCCCGCGGCAGCGTTCTTTCTTATCACTTTTCCCTCAGAATCACCATGCTTATAAACGCCTTTCACTTCCCTTGCCGACCTTGCACTTGTTGCCGAAGGGCTAACACAGTCGCCTGACAATCCAGCGGCCTCGGGTTCGATCCCCCTCCCCCGTGAAAGTTGAAAAAAGCTTCCTTCTCCCTTTTCTCCTTCTTTTTTTCCATATCATAATTGGAATAAGACTAAAGGCAAAAGAAGAAGATGAAGACAAGAGTACTTGCCCACTATGATCCTCTTTTCTTCATCTTCTCCATCTCTTCTTTTTTGCTCCACTTGAACTTTTTCCTATCATTTTTGAAGATGACTTCTTCTTCTCCTTTTCTGCCGTTTTTAGAATCTAGAATAGACATAGAACACTTTTTCCAGTGAATTTTCTTCGAAAATCAGAAAAATTCAATCAAACATTAAGATGGTGATCAAGCTTAATCTCCGAACATTTCCTTGCTTTTTTTGGGGATCCAGGTTCTTAGTAACGGTAGATTATCGACAGGATTTCATGTAGTGGTTTAGCCGATTATCGAACTTTTTTATTTTTTGGCATTTATTTTGAGCCAAAAACTTTTTTAGGAAAAAAAAGAGTTGGTAGATTTATCATCGATTAGTATTTTTGTGCCAAAAATTGAAACTTTTAAAGGTTTTTGGGACCGTTTTTTTTCATTACGCGCTAGATGAAAATGTAATGGAGAATTTTTTGGTCTACCAGCTCCAGTTTTGAAATTGGCCAGGTTTTTCTAAAGTCCGTAGGGTCCAAAACCCAGGTTCTGAGCCCAAGGATGAGCATTTTTCAATGTAAGCAACACAGCATGTACTGTAGACGCAGGATCCAAGAAAAGTGCGTCGCGTTGCGTTTTGTGCGTTGGGCTGACTTTTCAAAAAACGAAAAAAACGAAAAGCAAAATTACCGTAATTTCTTCAATCGTGGTGAGACCCCTCAAAGCAACTTTTCTAGAAAAAAAAAGTTCTAGAACATCTACTTCCCCTAGCTTTCAATAGTCCAAATCACCCATTTTTCTCCCAGTGGAACACCTTCCTTTTCTACTTCTTTTTACAAATTTTTCGCCTGAATAGAATCAATCAAAAATAGTCTTCTCCTAAAATCCCCATTTTGCCCTCCCCAAGTGTCCTTGCTCTTTCAACATATCTCAATGGTGTCATCCATTTGATTTCAATTGATTCTTCCTTCATTCCTCTTCTTACTCCACTCATCTGCCCTTCCATCACTAGGACCCAGTGTAACAATGCTCTCTCCACTGGTGGAGAGGGGAGGATGATCCCAAAATATTTCTTTTCTCTTTTCATTTTGCAACATTCTGTTTCCGGGTTATTTCTCCTTTCTTCTTCTTCTTACACTTTCTGATTCTCTTCGTTGATCTTTGCTATCTTAATTGTTAAAGGGACACGGAGAGATATTGGAAGGACTTTTGGCACGTTTCTCTGCGATTCGGAACTTTTTTTTTAGACTTAGGGGAGGGTTACTGTAGAAATTTCTGTAATTATGAAATCTGAACTTTCTGAAAATGTTTTTTCTGCTAGATCCTAATTTGAGAAAACAGTACCAAGATACCTGGAACCGCCGGATTTTGCTGCTGGTGATCCTTTTTTTTGTAATCCTAAGGAATTTTGAAAAAAATGATGAGGTAGATCAAAAACTTCTCTGTCAATCGATGTATTTTCCCACATATTCCGACGAAGACAATCTTTTTTTTTCCGAATTTTAGGGCCCAAATTGTTATAAGCACTCAATTTACCCTAAAAGCACACGCCATTACTTTTGGGAAAATCTCACCTTTAACTTATGACTGTAGTTTTTGAAACCTGTTTCCTGTAAAAACTCCAGTCCGATTGGTCCAAGAACCACTGTTTCGCAACAAAAACCGCCTACAGTACCCTGTTTCTCCGTGGTGAGACCCATCCTGCGCCTTTAGGATGGATCATCCTTTTTTGTACAGCACCAATCGAGTAAAACCCATCCCTGTCGTTCTACAAAAAATGACTGGAGCTTCGAATTTCTGAATTCAACAATGTGATGTTTCCAGTCTAGACCGGAAACCCCAAATGTACAGTTTTTTTTCTGGTTTCGTTAGAAAACTTCCGGTTTCACGTGATTTCAGGTGTTCAATATCCGGAGGGACCATACTGATAAAAACATAGTTTTGATTCACCAAACCCAAAAAAGTAAGCGTTTCCCCCAAACGGAAAGCCCCTCTCACCAGTTTCCGTTTTTCTTTTTTCTACAGGAAAAAAACGGTTTCCGGGCTTATCAGCGAGCTCAGTTTTGGCTTTTTTTTCATATAAAATTTACGTTTAGTTAGTTTTGGTGGGCAGAGAGTACTACGTCCGCAATCTGACGTGGTAGTATCAGCTTTCGGTGTTTGCAGACTTGACACTATACCTTACGACATTTCTGTTCTTATCAAAGGCCAGGGATACCGTTCAAACCAAATCTGCAATTTTTGTTTGCTTTTGGGGCCCGTTGGGGGATACGGGGGAAGTTCTATGTCCGCAATCTGACGTGTTGGTGTCAGAATTGGGTGTTTGCAGACTGGACATCATATCTCACGACATTTCAGTTTTACTCAAGTCATGCTCTTCTATTATAGGCTCTACCCCTCTCCATTGACGTCACTCCCCTCCACCAATAAATCTTACTGTAATGGCTTTTCCCCTTTTTCTATGGGGTGGGGGTTCCCCCACGCCTTCTAAAATAATGAGATATATAGCACCACCAGCCTTTCCTTAGCTTTTCCATTTTTCACTTTCAATTTTCCTTCCAGTCCCCCCCCCTCTCCGCCCTTTTTTTACGAGGTTGCATAAATCGAAACGACGGGGTGGGGGCTGGAGCCGAAAGGGGGCGTATACATATATCAAAAAGGACCTTATTTTGCACCAACACTCCATTTTTTTCTCTCAATTTGTATATTCCAATTTGCAGCTCGCCGCCACAATGTCACCGAATTTGTCGAGGCCGACGAGATATGTCAAGGTGAGTCTCTTTTTTTACCTCTAATAGAGTGGCATTTGGGTGAGAATTGAATTTAGAATCGCTTATCATTGACCCTCTAATAGAAAATCACCTAGTGTTTTGTAACGGTTTTATAGAGTTGTTCGTGGCACCCAGATTTCTCGGATTTCGAATGGAAAATCGATAATTAGATGTTCCAAATATTCTCCTCCGCCATTTACCTCTAATAGAAGGGGCACCAGTGTTTCGGAACGGTTTTTGTAGAGTTTTTCGAAAATCACCTCTAATAGAATACCATCTATCCAAATTCAGTAAAAACCAGGTGGAGAGATTTGAAAATGATCCCTTTGGTCTGAAAATGGGGGTGCCGTTTTATTAGAGGGAAATCGCATGGTCCTCTAATGGAAGGGCACCTTTGGAATTGAGAAAATGAACCTACTGTAGTTACAGTAACCCTTTGTACTTTTTGAATTTATAAATCTAGGTGTCCTTGAGTCTTTTCTTCAGAACCTCTATTATAAGGGCACCCTGCAAGAAGCTAGGTTGGTAGCCATCCATTTACCTTAAAGGCACATTTTTGGAAAGGTCTCACCACGATGGAAGGGGTTACTGTAGTTTTCGGAATTTTTTTGGTGCAAAAATACAGCATTCCGATCAGAAAAGGCCCCACTTTCATCAGTTTCAAAAAGGCTGCGCTTTTAAGATTAAATGAATCGGCATGCCTTAAAGGCGCAGGTAGTTTCATTTGGGAAGGTCTCATCATGATTGGAGAGATTACTGTATTTTTGAATATCTGATAGTCATCTTGCTTGCGGAATCTACGCCTTTAAGGCAAACCAAAGCTCACTCTCCTTTTATTGGAATTTTCCTTTTTCTGTATCCCCATTTTTCTTGGCGAGACCATAGATGTGCCTTTAAGGTCACTTTCTATTAGAGGTCTCTCAATCTTCTGAACTCTTTCACTTTCTTGTTCCATTCAATTCTCCATTCTAATTTTTTTTTCCAAAAGGTTGTCATTCCTTTTTCAAGTATATATTTTCTCTCCAACAGACATCAATTTTCTTTTCAGTATCAAAAATTTAATTGAATGTTTCCAAGTAGTAGATCATATGTTTCTTTTTTTTTCGATTTTCTTCAGAAATCTCACGACATGTCATGTCATGACACTACTACTTGGAAATATATCTATATGTAGCAATAAATGAAAATAATCAAAAACGAAAGAAATGAAGGACATGCTAAATTGATTGTATATTTTCTCATGCTCACTCTCCCTCTATGACGTCGAATACGTCTAAAACGGGTTGGGGGAAATTCGGAGTAATTTGAGTGTTAAAGCAAATGAGTAGTTGAGGGAGGGGGGGGGGGGGGTGTTTGAATTTTGGATTCGTGGGAAGCAAGGGAAATTTGATTTTGTAAAATTAAAAGGGGGTAGACTAGAGTTCAAAAAAATTCAAAATTGGGGAAACTGAGGATTTTTGAAATTCTAGGAAGCCAAGAAAATTTTTTATTCACTGAGATGATTGGATTTGAGAAGATTTCAACTGTTAATAGCATCAAATTTTGAGAAATTGAGAGTTTTATCACTGGGACTCACCCCTTGGCGGTGAAAAGGGGTGCTTTTGCTTTGGAGCTGTATATCTCCAGTATGAGTCGAAGTACAAAAAAACTGTTAACTACAAAAATGTTGAGCTTACAATTTTACATGTTTCTTCAGTTGACAACTTTTTTGTATCTTTTCTGGCAGCCGAGATATGAGGCTTCAAACTTAGTGCTTACCACAAATCTACCGATTCTAATACATTTTCACTGCTGTAAGCACTATATCTTGGTTAGAAGTAGAGATATGAAAAAGTTGTCAACTAGTAAAATGTTTATCATAAAATTTTGCACATTTTATTTGTTGAACACTTTTTTGTATCTTTCATGATTGCTGAGATATAAGCCGCCAAAAGTTTTATTTCCACGAACTTGTCAAAAGGTGGCTCCTTAACGGACAGTTTTACTTGAAA